TTCAAAAGTAGGTTAAATGTGAAAATAAAACTGGCAACAATAGTTATTAATATTAAAGTACATTTCACTTAAAAATGCGGGTGAAATATTTCCCTGAGAAAACACGCATGTCACCCAGTGCTCAGAAAGCACAGGGCTCTAGGGATCTGATTTCAAGTCCCAGCAAAACTACCAACCAGCCTGTGAACTTGAATGAGGCACTTGACCTCATCAGCTTCATTTCTGCTTTTATAAAACCGCTTCTCTGCACAGTTATGAGAACGAACTTTTGTACATTGTAAAACTCGATATGCATGCTATTTAGCATCATTATTGTTATAAAACTGAATTCTTCATGACCCACGCTGATTGGCTCTCAGGGTTCCCAGTCTCAGTGAATGTCATTCAGAGCAATAAGTGTAGCTTAATCCCCATTACTCACTCTCCTATCCTCCTTCAGGAGAAAAGTCTAGACTCCTCAGCTTAACCAGTCCCTCATGATCTGGCCTCATCTCCTGACATTTTCCTATCTTTCAATATTTCAAATGTTCCTGTATTCCAATAGGCATCATTAACCATTTCAAATATCCCAATGCTTCTGAAATGCCTACCTCTGTGTTTCTGCACATGCCATCAGGTTCTTTTTGGAACACCCTTAATAGCCAACCTCATTTGGCTACTTCCCACGTGTTGTTCTTCAAGACTCAGCTGAAGCTATTCTGGGAAATCTTAAGTCCTACAGTCCCGAGTAAGCCTGCTGCTTTAGGCTTCCCCTGACCCTGCACACATGTCTGTGACAGTCTTCACCACCTCTGTGCCAAGTGTCCATTCCATCTCCTCCTCTGGACCAGCCATTTCCAAGCGGTGAGCCGCAGCATCTTTAAAATATGCCATACCTGACCATTCAGTCAAGGGCACTGGCTTCTTTTCCCTTAGATTGTCAAATAAAAAAACGACAACAGCCAACACAACAATGGTTATCTGGTGTGAATGAATCAAAATTATACCTATTTTTTTTTTTGTCAGATCGGCAAAAAATATAACCTGTGTGTTGGTGTGCCATGAGATGAAAAAGGCTGAACATCGCTGCTCTAGACCATTATGGTCCAGTTGAACTTCCTGCAATATTGGAAATGTTCTATACCTATATTGTCCAATACAACAGCCACTAGCCATTAGAAAGATGGCTCGTTTGATTCGAGAGATAAGTGTTCAATTTTATTTAATTTTAATTATTTTCAACCTAAACTTAAATAGCCACCTGTGGCTCATGGCAGTGCTGCTGGATGGCACAGGTCTATGTAGACTGTCAACTCCAAAGGCCACACTGATGTGTCTTGGTGTCCGTGGCCACCACCGGATCTGGCAAATGGAAGGATTCAGTGTTTGTTGAAAGACCAAGTGAATATGTAAATATCTATAAACACGCTCACATATAGTTGGGAATTGATCCCACACAATATTCAAAGCATTCTGGGTTATCATAAAATTTGGCCAAGATGATCACATCTTGTAAAGCGCACCTCATTAAGTATCATGGAAAAACCCACCCTCCGTGAAGCATTCGTTTCTCCACAGGGACTTCAGCTTCGCAGTGACGCTTAAATGACTTCCAGATGACTCCTTGATTAATGGTCCGCTGCTTATGAAATATTACAATAGCCATGGCAGCATCATTTTGGAATGTCAAAATCAACTACAATGTTTTATAAAGAAAATACATGGATGTGTGCTTTTTTAAAAATCATACTTATATTAACGTGTGTGGGGGGGGGGGGGAATCCCCTTGAATACCTAAAGTATTCCTAGAGTATAAAAGACTACTCTGACCTCTTTTTTGAAATTAACCCTCAGCTGCCCTAACTGAACATGTGTGTTTGTGTGTGTATATTTTTAAAATATATATTTTATTGATTTCAGAGAGGAAGGGAAAGGGAGAGACAGAAACATCAATGAGAGAGAATTATTGATTGGCTATCTCCTCCAAGTCCCACACTGGGGATTGAGCACACAACCTGGGCATGTGCCCTGACCGGGAATTGAACTGTGATGTTCTCTGGTTCATAAGTTGATGCTCAACCACTGAGCCACATTGGCCAGGCTGAATGTGTTTTTGAAATCCTGTACAATATTTGGAGAAAGTGTCCTGGATTGATTTGATGGGCTCCAGTCACTGCAATAGCAGAATACAGAGAGAACATGACCTTGCTCCAAAGTACAAGCGGACACATTCAATTTGGTCCCAATTAAAAGTTTCAATTGACAGCACTCATGAGCTTGACAGAGGCTTGGTCATTTGAGATTTCAAGAAATCTAAGATGTGAACATCACAAAGCTGAGCTTCAGCAGGTTTGACTCCACACCCAAGTCCTCACTACGAACCTCTCAGAGTGGAGCCAGCAGTCAAAGGCTCAGCAAAGGGGGTCTGCACACCCACCCACCCAAAGGAAGGAGAGCTTCTCCAGGCCCCACCTGGGGCGCCACACCTCCCACAGGGGCATCGGATGGCTGGACAACCGCTTGTTAATGTCCTTTCATTACATCATTACTTCTATCAAGGGAGACTAATCCTAAGTCTGAAACTATCCATACATATAAAAGGCTAAGCAACCGGCCAACTGGCAGACCAGCTGGTAGCTATGACGTGCACTGATCACCAGGGGCAGACACTCGGCGCAGGAGCTGCCAAGCAACAGCAACTTGCACTTGCAGAGTGCCCTCTCACGCTCTGGGACCCCTCAGGGGATGTTGGGCTACCCATTTCAGCCTGATCCCCCCCGAAGGCCAGGCCGAGAGATCCCACTGCTGAAGGGACCCCGCTCACTATGCAGACGCCCTTCCAGCCCCAGCGCTGCCCCAGGTGTGGCTGGCTGGAGAGGGACTGTGGGAGGTTGGCCCAGGGCGTGTCTGGCCCAACTCATCCAGTCCCACCCCGCAGGCCACCTTCTAACTAATGTGCTTTCAATGTGTACAAATCCATGCACTGAGCTCTAGTATGTGAAATAAAAAAGGATAGGCCCTCGCCAACTGGCTCAGCTGGTTGGAGCATCTTGTACTCCAAAAGACACAGGTTTGATTCCTGGTCAGGACACATACCTAGGTTGCAGGTTCAATCTCTGGTTGGGGCACATGCAGAAGGCAATGAGCAAACGTTTCTCTCTCACGTTGATGTTTCTCTCTTTCTCTCTCTCCCCACCTCTCTCTCTAAAGTCAATGAAAACATCTTTGGGTGAGGATTTAAAAAAAAAAAAGGAATAGGTAAAGTACCTTAAAGCTGGATCAGGAGAAATAAGGAGTTGGGCCTTCAAATACATAGTTCACTCCTTTTAATTTCGGTTCAAAATTTTAATTAAAAGTAAGTATTTATTACAAGAGAATGAATGTTCACTAAAGAAAAATAGGCTAAAATGAAACATACATTGAATCCTTTTATCCAAAGATAGTATTTGCTATATATGCCATTGCTTTTTTTTTCTTTTTAATAAAAGTAATTTTAAAAGAGTAAAATAAGTAGAAGCTAGCATTTATATAACCTCTGTTTCATGGACCGTCATTCAGCATCTATTAACTCATTCTGTCTTCGCCACACTACTACGAGGAGGGACTGTTGCTATCTGTACCTTATAGACAAAGAAGCCCAGCTGAGAGAAGTTAAGTAAGTAACCTGACCCAGTTCACAAGCTTGGAAGTGAAAATAATCCCCGTTCAGTTTTGGCTCTGGGAACATTATGTTCAACTAAGTAGTGTGGGAAGAAAACTTTCTCCTTCACTTTATTAAATCCTTAACTGCGACTTCAATACTCCGTCGGAAGCAGGGAACACACCCTGTTTTTGTGTTATATTTTATTCCTGTACCCGGGCTGGGGGAGGGGCCGAGCTAAGACAGGAGACATTCACGGACTTGCACCTAATACTCAACAGCTGGGTTGCAGCACTCAAATCTGTAACAAGAATTTAGATTCCTCAGGGCTGTCTCTCTTTGATGTGAGTTCATATCAAACTGTAATCTTCTTACCTCCGCATTCTACATAATCAATTAGCTTGGTCATGAAAAGCCTATATTTAACTTGATTCAAGTCTGATTTTACTTTTTTTCCACCTGGCTCCGTAAAATATAACATGTAGTTCCCGATTCCTGTAAAACCTAAACGTGCCTGTTTTGACTAGGAACCGCAAAAAAGTGGGGAGGCCAAAAACAAAACGGAGGTTAAAACAAGGGGAAAGATACTGTCCACAATGGACACCGTTAAACTGGCAATGTGAGATGCAACTGATGAGTTCAGAGACATTCTTAAAGGCAAAGGTGTTCTTCCAGTCACAGAGAGTGTTCCACGCCTCCACCCCATCCCCAAAGGTCACCTGGCAAATGTCCAAAGGGACCCACACTCCATTTTCTGCTCTCTCACGTCAATACTGTCGGCTGCACCAGGACCCTGAAATGCCTTGTATTATTCTTTATCGTCCTGTTACCCATACAGCAACTGCTCTGGCAACAAGGGTAATTACCCAGCAGCCTTATCTCGAAAGAGCACTATAATTAACTTGTGTCACTGCAGCAGCATTCGTGGTTATAATAATTGCAGCAAAAAAAAAAAAAAAAAAAAAAAAAAAAAAAAAAAAAAATGTCTATGGACATAGCAGTTTTAGTTCTGGCTTTCGAAAACAACTTCAGCTTATGTTGCTCCTTAGATTCCACATCTGAGTGAGGTCATGTGATACTTGTCTTTCTGTGACTGGCTTGTTTCGCTTAGCGATACAAGATAGATAATACTGTCCAGGTCCCTCCATGCTGTCTCAACGGGTAAGAATTCCCCACCACCACCACCACCAAAAAAATAACTTCAGCAATTACACTAAAAAAAATCATGTTTGTTTCCCTCCAAAAAAGCCTGATTTCCTTTGCACAGAGCCCTCTGAAGCTATCTGTATGTCCCCTAACAGGACACATTAGACTGTCCCTGTTGTAAGCTTCCAAAGAGAATAGAGAAAACAAACACAACAATTCTCCCTGTGATACTTACAGCTCCTCCAGAAAAGGGAAGTTCTTAAAAGCATCTTCTGGTAATTGAGTAATGTTGTTCATGCTGATATCCCTAGAAAACAAAACAAAGAAGTTTGTTAACTCAGTGACATTAGACTTGAAGCATTTAATTCAACAGAAAAATAATTAGGGGTGGTGTGTTTGTAAAGAAACAATAAAAATGGGCATAAAGACAGACAAGGAACAGTCATACATTGGCTTCAGGATGCAGAAAACAAGAGAAGTGAAATCTTTTAATTTAGAAACATACCCAAATTGTCCCCCTTAAAGGATTTGTGGGGAAAATGTCTCAAACTACATACAATGAGTGAGCCTGGGTGGCTTCCCAGTGGTATTAAACGTGCTGTATCTGATTTAAAAAGCAATAAATAAGCAAATAAGTACCCGAGGACGTGATGCAAAAATAATTTTGCTGGCAAGGATGGCTTCGCTTAAGCCACCATCAGGAACAATAAAACAGGTCCTAGCTGTACCCTCGTCATATTTCTGCAAAACCTATAAAAGTCCTCCAGGTAATAGCTGTGAGTGGATTTCATTTTTAGCCTATGAACAGATGCGGGCTGCAGACAAGTGCCTACATGACAGGTATGCAGTCCTTTCCCAGTTCCTCCTGATAGAGGCAGCAGAAAGGAGAGAATCACTTGACAATGTAGCGCAACCATTAACTAGTTCCAACAGCTAAAAGCTTTGTTAACCATTTCCTTCTTCCCTGGCCACTGCCTGTTAGGTTGGCTTTCCCCTTCCATTCTCTACTAAACATCAACACCATGAGGGACAGGTGGAGGCAGCCTCAGGAGGGACAGTCCCAGCATGCAATGGGTTGGTTGCTTCATGCAGGTTCTTCTGCCTCTGGTCTCATGTTAGTCTATGGCTCACCCCGCAGGTCTCTCCTTTCTTCAATTCATCATGAAAATTCACATGTGTGACCTTCCCTCTACCAGATTAGACATGTTGGTATAAGAGAGTGTAAGAGAGCCTAGCTGGTATGGCTCAGAGGTTGAGCACTGACCTATGAACCAGAAGGTCACGGTTTGATTCCCGATCAGGGCATGTGCTCAGGTTGGGGGCTTGATCACCAGTGGGGGGTGTGCAGGAGGCAGCTGATTGATGTTTCTCTCTCATCAATGTTTCCCCCTCTCTCTCCCTCTCCCTTCTTCTCTGACATATATATAATAAATAAAAAAGAAAGTGTAAGAGAAATCAAGCATAGGAAAATCAGATCACAGTAACACTTCGGTCAGATAAAATTTTCTTTTGAAGGACGTGACAACCTCAGTGCCAAGGTAGGAGACTGCCTTCCATCATCTTCCTTCTCACTGGAATTTAGGAATGGAATTGCATTCCTTCTAGTGACTAGCCCTTCCCAAGGCAAGTTTGGAAAACTTTGGGAACAACAATAAGTGTAGCACCAAAAACAGCAACCACAGTAACGGGTAACATCAGACTGCACATAAAATCGCACTTTACAAATGGGGAAGCTGGGGCTTACCGAACTAAATACCACTGAGCAAGTGGTGTAACAGGAGAGGTGAACCCCAGTTCATGATCTTAACTGCAAACTCTGAGTCTCCTAAGTATCATCTGAGTCCTTCAGTGATAGTCAAAATGAAAAGCAAACCCTCTGTCCCGGTAAGATTTTTTAAAAGGAGGAATACTGCCCCCAAGACCTTGGCACAATCCTCAGGGAATCTCAGGAAGAGCATTTTTGCTTGACAATTAAAACGAGGACTATATGCTCTAGCTGGTTTAGCTCAGTGGATAGAGGGTGGCCTGTGGACTGAAGGGTGCTGGATTCGATTCCGGTTAAGGGCATTATGTCTGGGTTGCGGGCTCAATCCTCAGAAGGGGGCATGCAGGAGGCAGCTAATCATTGATGTTTCTATCTCTACCTCCCTCTCCCTTCCTCTCTGAAATCAATAAAAATATATAAAACACACACAAAAAAATGAGGATTATAAATAGCTTTAGCAATTCAGGACCATCATACAAATTTCCTAGAACATGAAACTCCTCTGAGATGAATCTTATGACAATAGAGGTTCAAATGCATTCCAAAATTTTCTATCACTGAAAATGACTCACATTCTATTAAAGGTAACTTAAAAGAAAAATAAAATTAATATACATCCCCAGGACTAACTCTCCATATCCACAAACTAATATATGTTAAGCAATTATTTATATACTAGAGGCCCGGTGAATGAAATTCATGCATGGGGTGGAGAGGTGTCCCTCAGCCCAGCCAGTACCCTATACAATCTGGGACCACTTGAGGGCAGTCAGACTCCCAACTGCTTGCCTGCCTGCCTTCCTGATTGCCCCTAACCACTTCTGCCTACCAGCCTGATCACCCCCTAACCACTATCCTGCCAGCCTGATTGATGCCTAACTGCTCCCCTGACAGCCTGGTCACCCCCAACTTCCCTCCTCTGCAGGCCTGATCACTTCTAAATGCCCAAACCTGCTGGCCTGATCTCCCACAACTGCCCTCCCTTGCAAGCCTGGTCCCTCCCAACAGCTCTCCCCTGCTGGCCATCTTGTGGTGGCCTTCTTGTGCCCACATGGGGGCAGCCATCTTGTTTGTTGGAGTGATGGTCAATTTGAATATTACTCTATTAGATAGGATATTCTTTATGAGCCCAGGCTTCAACACTACTTTAGTCAGCTATCATTATGCCCGCAGAGGGGAAGGAGGACCACCTGTGTTTCTTCAGACACTCAAGCAAGGGTACTGGAGCAAAAACACCAAAATAGGGGTCAGGACAAGCAGGCCCAACTCCCGGCCCGGCCACACGGCTGCTCATCCTCCCAGACCTCGGTGTGCTTATCACTACGACGAGGGAGTTGACTGATTGGTTCGGTGGCTTCCAAGCCTGACCTTAACGACTCCCATGATTCACCTTTTTCTGTGGTTTCATGGAGGGGCACACCCTTCCTGATGAAAATACACATACTTCATTTTATGGAAAGGGCATGTTTCTGGGGGGGGGGGGGGGGAATATGCCATTGTACAAAATTGAAAGGCTACAACTTCCCCATTATGAAAGGGAGTCACTCCCACGGTAAACACCTGCGGCCTTCACCACGGAAATCATTCTTAAGACGACGACAAGACTTCCAAGCACACGGAAAGGCAAACTAATAATGTGAGTGGGCAGCGATTCTATAAAATGTCACACAATTTTGGGGCTCTCGAGTCACTGCAATAAAAGGAGGAGGAGGGATAACCGTAATTTATTACTGTGCGGAGGGAGGCCCTCGGTGCAGCTGCCTCTCGGGCTGGCACACCCGAGCTCAGGTGCTATCACAGTAACAGAAAAACTGATTAATTGCCTCACCAGAAAAAGACACGCGATTGGAGAGACTCTGCACCACTCTATTCTCTGCGTTCCAATTTTTTAGAACACATACACCTCTGTGATTCTCTCCCCCCGTCAGCGTAACAAGACGTGACAGGTCGTTTTGCTGTGAGCTAGAGAGGCAAATTAGGGGACCCCGTATTTACAAACTAATATGGGTTCAACAGGACAGGGGAGTTTTGTTTTAAAGCCGCAGATGGAGGAGCAACACTGGTTTTCATATCGTCCCCGGTTTCACACGCCCAGAGACCTTCTCTCTCTTCACAGGTATTTTTCTCTCATACTTTTTTCGGGCTTTGGTTATAACACATTCTGTGGGTGAGGTGAGAGAGTGGGGTGGGGACGGTGCTACAAGATGTTATCTCCGGAGAAGCTCTGGAAACATGTGGTTACAGAGTAGAAGGTGGGTGGGTACTCATTTAAAATAATGAGGGCTAATGGTGATAAACAACCTACAGACAGCCTGCAGAGCGGATCCCAGACCTGACATCACCCACAGCGGGCAGCGAGCTGCTCCGGGCTGGAAAGCATGCTGGCGGAGATGAGGTAACTGCAACGACATGGGAGCCCTGTGCCCCTAATTACACGGAGAGCCGGCTCAGAAGCCAGAGAAATGATGAAAATACATAAATAAAAGATGGGTAGAAAATTTTCCAACTAGAAAATGCACCTCCAGCTCGGTGCCCTGACATTCATTCATTCATACGAGCAATAGTCTTCCTGGCAACATCTGAAATTAAACCAGTGATTTCCCATCCCGGGTTCCATAAAGACAAGAAATGTAACATAAAAACAAAAGACAAAAATGTCATCATCCATGGCCAGAGCACTACCAACTCATAAACACCTCTGAAGAGTAATTTCAAGAGAACCGATGGCCTTGCTTGAAGGTAGGCAGCTGGGGAAGTTGGAGTGTACAGGCCTGGGAAGCAGATGGGCAAGGTTTAACCTGTATGCAGATTCACAACCTTGGGCGAGCTGCTCCTCTTTTCTGATTCCTAGCTTCTTTATTTGGAGAAACAGAAGCAGTCATAACTAAAACTTGTAGGTTGCTATGAAATCAGAAAATGGCAAGTCACCCATAAGAAGCTAAGGTATAGATATGTAGGTTTTATTTCATCGATGCCCATGTGTTTGAATCAAGTGGACTATGAGCAGGCCAAGCATCATACCGCCTTCGGTGGCCTTCCTTTCCAAAAGAAACCCTTTTTATACAAGACACACACTAATTGGTGCAGAAGACCTGGAACCTGGAGTTCTTTCTTCCTACAAAACTACACTCTAAACCCCACATCCCCAAGTGCCGGAGATTTTAAGCCAGAAGGGCCCTTCAAGATAAAATACTTCAAGTTTTAAAAATTTTAAGAAAAAAAATTAAGGCTCAGTAGTTGACAAGAGTCAAGCACTCTTAACAAACAAAAATGAAAGAGAGAGAGAAAAAAAACAACTGCATTCTTATAAGAGATTTTAGAAAGACAAGATAACACAATAGCCATTTAAAAACTATCAGGATGACCTCAGGTTAGTGATAAAGAGAGGTTAGAGCCTTGACCGGTTTGGCTCAGTGGATAAGAATATCGGCCTGCGGACTCAAGGGTCCCAGGTTCGATTTCCTGTCAAAGGCATGTAGCTTGGTTGTGGGCACATCTCCAGTGGGGGATGTGCAGGAGGCAGCTAATTGATGTTTCTCTCT